GTATTGTGGATAGAACTCGTGTACAACAGACAGGCCAGCAGAGAGAACTGATGGGTGGTCTCAAATGGTGGCATGAAGGAGTATTGTGGATAGAACTCGTGTACAACAGACAGGCCAGCAGAGAGAACTGATGGGTGGTCTCAAATGGTGGCATGAAGGAGTATTGTGGATAGATAGAACTCGTGTACAACAGACAGGCCAGCAGAGAGAACTGATGGGTGGTCTCAAATGGTGGCATGAAGGAGTATTGTGGATAGAACTCGTGTACAACAGACAGGCCAGCAGAGAGAACTGATGGGTGGTCTCAAATGGTGGCATGAAGGAGTATTGTGGATAGAACTCGTGTACAACAGACAGGCCAGCAGAGAGAACTGATGGGTGGTCTCAAATGGTGGCATGAAGGAGTATTGTGGATAGAACTCGTGTACAACAGACAGGCCAGCAGAGAGAACTGATGGGTGGTCTCAAATGGTGGCATGAAGGAGTATTGTGGATAGAACTCGTGTACAACAGACAGGCCAGCAGAGAGAACTGATGGGTGGTCTCAAATGGTGGCATGAAGGAGTATTGTGGATAGAACTCGTGTACAACAGACAGTGGAGAGAACTGATGGGTGGTCTCAAATGATGAAGGAGTATTGTGGATAGAACTCGTGTACAACAGACAGGCCAGCAGCAGAGATGAAGGAGTATTGTGGATAGAACTGATGGGCAGAGAGAACTGATGGGTGGTCTCAAATGGTGGCATGAAGGAGTATTGTGGATAGAACTCGTGTACAACAGACAGGCCAGCAGAGAGAACTGATGGGTGGTCTCAAATGGTGGCATGAAGGAGTATTGTGGATAGAACTCGTGTACAACAGACAGGCCAGCAGAGAGAACTGATGGGTGGTCTCAAATGGTGGCATGAAGGAGTATTGTGGATAGAACTCGTGTACAACAGACAGGCCAGCAGAGAGAACTGATGGGTGGTCTCAAATGGTGGCATGAAGGAGTATTGTGGATAGAACTCGTGTACAACAGACAGGCCAGCACAGAGAACTGATGGGTGGTCTCAGCAGAGAGAATTGTGGATAGAACTCGTGTACAACAGACAGGCTGCATGATGGGTGGTCTCAAATGGTGGCATGAAGGAGTATCAAAACTCGTGTGGCAGCAGAGAGAACTGAGGGTATGGTGGCATGAAGGAGTATTGTGGAAGAACTCGTGTACAACAGACAGGCCAGCAGAGAGAACTGATGGGTGGTCTCAAATGGTGGCATGAAGGAGTATTGTGGATAGAACTCGTGTACAACAGACAGGCAGGCAGAGAGAACTGATGGGTGGTCTCAAATGGTGGCATGAAGGAGTATTGTGGATAGAACTCGTGTACAACAGACAGGCCAGCAGAGAGAACTGATGGGTGGTCTCAAATGGTGGCATGAAGGAGTATTGTGGATAGAACTCGTGTACAACAGACAGGCCAGCAGAGAGAACTGATGGGTGGTCTCAACATGAAGGAGTATTGTGGATAGAACTCGTGTACAACAGACAGGCCACAGGCAAGCAGAGGAGTATTGTGGATAGAACTCGTGTACAACAGACAGGCAAGCAGAGAGAACTGATGGGTGGTCTCAAATGGTGGCATGAAGGAGTATTGTGGATAGAACTCGTGTACAACAGACAGGCAAGCAGAGAGAACTGATGGGTGGTCTCAAATGGTGGCATGAAGGAGTATTGTGGATAGAACTCGTGTACAACAGACAGACAGGCCAGCAGAGAGAATAGAACTGATGGGTGGGGTCTCTCAAATGGTGGCATGAAGGAGTATTGTGGATAGAACTCGTGTACAACAGACAGGCCAGCAGAGAGAACTGATGGGTGGTCTCAAATGGTGGCATGAGGGAGTATTGTGGATAGAACTCGTGTACAACAGACAGGCAAGCAGAGAGAACTGATGGGTGGTCTCAAATGGTGGCATGAAGGAGTATTGTGGATAGAACTCGTGTACAACAGACAGGCCAGCAGAGAGAACTGATGGGTGGTCTCAAATGGTGGCATGAAGGAGTATTGTGGATAGAACTCGTGTACAACAGACAGGCCAGCAGAGAGAACTGATGGGTGGTCTCAAATGGTGGCATGAAGGAGTATTGTGGATAGAACTCGTGTACAACAGACAGGCCAGCAGAGAGAACTGATGGGTGGTCTCAAATGGTGGCATTAAGGAGCATTGTGGATAGAACTCGTGTACAACAAACAGGATCAAGATCTGTCTAGAAACACAGATACCTACACTGTTCTGCAAGGCCTGATGACGATGGTTCCAATATGCAGGTTTCATAATAGATCTGACATGTCTGTATACAGACTGTTGGTTACCTGCCACTGAGGCAGATGCACTGACTTCGAAGAAAGCCTCTAATAAGATGACTCATATAACATGCCAGTTATGGAGGCAGTGGGTCTATTCTTGTTTTTAAAGGCCAGAATGTGACCTTGAAACCTACACAAGGAAATTGTGTCTACATCATACAACTGTGGACTAGACTACACATACAACACTCACTAGACTTCAGCATGCCACTAACAAACTGTTCCCTGTCCAAGAATCCATCACTATCCTTATCTTGTCGTCTGAAAAAGTCTGTGACTCGAAACTTCTGTGATTGTATCCAATTTAAGTATCGCAACCTCCAGAGGTCAAAGTCAAAGTTTTTAAAACTCTCAATCTGAAACAAGCCAAGGAAACAAACATTTTTGACTAAAGTTGCCAAAATCTAAGATAAACAAAGAAAACATTTCACACTCTTTAAGCTTAACAAAACTACAGTTCAGCTAATTGAGTATTTTCAAATATAGGACAGAAGCAGATGGTAGTTGACGCTGACCATGTCAGGAGAACAGAAGCAGATGGTAGTTGACACTGACCATGTCATGAGAACAGAAGCAGATGGTAGTTGACGCTGACCATGTCAGGAGAACAGAAGCAGATGGTAGTTGACGCTGACCATGTCAGGAGAACAGAAGCAGATGGTAGTTGACACTGACCATGTCAGGAGAACAGAAGCCGATGGTAGTTGACGCTGACCATGTCAGGAGAACAGAAGCAGATGGTAGTTGACACTGACCATGTCAGGAGAACAGAAGCAGACAGTAGTTGACACTGACCATGTCAGGAGAACAGAAGTAGACAGTAGTTGACGCTGACCATGTCAGGAGAACAGAAGCAGATGGTAGTTGATGCTGACCATGTCAGGAGAACAGAAGCAGATGGTAGTTGACGCTGACCATGTCAGGAGAACAGAAGCAGATGGTAGTTGACACTGACCATGTCAGGAGGACAGAAGCCGATGGTAGTTGACGCTGACCATGTCAGGAGAACAGAAGCAGATGGTAGTTGACACTGACCATGTCAGGAGAACAGAAGCCGATGGTAGTTGACGCTGACCATGTCAGGAGAACAGAAGCAGATGGTAGTTGACACTGACCATGTCAGGAGAACAGAAGCAGACAGTAGTTGACACTGACCATGTCAGGAGAACAGAAGTAGACAGTAGTTGACGCTGACCATGTCAGGAGAACAGAAGCAGATGGTAGTTGATGCTGACCATGTCAGGAGAACAGAAGCAGATGGTAGTTGACGCTGACCATGTCAGGAGAACAGAAGCAGATGGTAGTTGACACTGACCATGTCAGGAGGACAGAAGCCGATGGTAGTTGACGCTGACCATGTCAGGAGAACAGAAGCAGATGGTAGTTGACACTGACCATGTCAGGAGAACAGAAGCCGATGGTAGTTGACGCTGACCATGTCAGGAGAACAGAAGCAGATGGTAGTTGACACTGACCATGTCAGGAGAACAGAAGCAGACAGTAGTTGACACTGACCATGTCAGGAGAACAGAAGTAGACAGTAGTTGACGCTGACCATGTCAGGAGAACAGAAGCAGATGTTAGTTGATGCTGACCATGTCAGGAGAACAGAAGCAGATGGTAGTTGACGCTGACCATGTCAGGAGAACAGAAGCCGATGGTAGTTGACACTGACCATGTCAGGAGAACAGAAGCCGATGGTAGTTGATGCTGACCATGTCAGGAGAACAGAAGCAGATGGTAGTTGACGCTGGCCATGTCAGGAGAACAGAAGCAGATGGTAGTTGACACTGACCATGTCAGGAGAACAGAAGCCGATGGTAGTTGATGCTGACCATGTCAGGAGAACAGAAGCAGACGGTAGTTGACACTGACCATGTCAGGAGAACAGAAGCAGATGGTAGTTGACACTGACCATGTCAGGAGAACAGAAGCCGATGGTAGTTGATGCTGACCATGTCAGGAGAACAGAAGCCGATGGTAGTTGACACTGACCATGTCAGGAGAACAGAAGCAGGCGGTAGTTGACGCTGACCATGTCAGGAGAACAGAAGCAGATGGTAGTTGACACTGACCATGTCAGGAGAACAGAAGCAGACAGTAGTTGATGCTGACCATGTCAGGAGAACAGAAGCAGATGGTAGTTGACACTGACCATGTCAGGAGAACAGAAGCAGATGGTAGTTGACTCTGACCATGTCAGGAGAACAGAAGCAGACGGTAGTTGACACTGACCATGTCAGGAGAACAGAAGCAGATGGTAGTTGACGCTGACCATGTCAGGAGAACAGAAGCAGGTGGTAGTTGACGCTGACCATGTCAGGAGAACAGAAGCAGATGGTAGTTGACACTGACCATGTCAGGAGAACAGAAGCAGATGGTAGTTGACACTGACCATGTCAGGAAAACCGAGATATTAGAAGAACATTAGAATTACTGCTAGCATTTCTTACAAATTTTGATTTATACACACATATAATATACATACGCACACACACACATATAATATACACACTCACACATACAAATGGAAATTATGATTTTTAAAAAAAAACAAAAGAATGTCTGGGATTACAACATTTGGACTTTTAAAGCAATACAAAATTTTTAATGTTTAAATTTAAGATGTAGAAAAAGAAGCAAAATAGGAATACACACAGAAAACTGACCTCTAACAAAGTTTCATATGCATCCTGCAGACGTTTCTTCCTGTCGACTGACATATGCCAGACTGCACGCCATTTGCTTTGTAGAGCAAGCACTCTGGAGTGCAGACCTCCTTCAAACTCGTTTAACTTCACATTTCTGAAAGTAATTAAAGTCAAACTGAATATAAACATTTACATATTCTTGCTTCTTGACAAACATAATCAGCCTGAAATATGATAAACACACCCCAAAAAAGATGATGCATAACTAACACAAATAAAAGAGCTTATGTCGAAAAATTATAATATTAATGATATTAATAAAGCTCATTTATGCAACCAGGAAAGAACAGAACAGTAACATCACCACCGACCAGATGTGTACTACAAAAGTCTGTCAAATGATATGACACAATCTACTATGTTTCTGATACAGTTAGTCTATGTCTGACTAGAAAACACAACCTACCAGGTTTCGGGTACAGTTTGTCTGTCATATGTCTGACTAGAAAACACAACCTACCAGGTTTGTGGTACAGTTTGTCATATGTCTGACTAGAAAATACAACCTACCAGGTTTGTGGTACGGTTAGTCTGTCATATGTCTGACTAGAAAACACAACCTACCAGGTTTGTGGTACAGTTAGTCTGTCATATGTCTGACTAGAAAACACAACCTACCAGGTTTCGGGTACAGTTTGTCTGTCAAATGTCTGACTAGTATGTCTAACGGTGTTGGTATGAGTGGACTTATCCTCACATTTATCTTCTTGACTGTGATGAAGTCTGTCAAGGATAAGCTACTTCTAAAACAAACCCTGAACCCCCCCCCCCCCCCCCGCTATGGATCCCTCAGTTATGTAAGCCAAATATGTGTGTGTGGACAACTTGAGTGATAGTGTTCATACAAGATTCAATCATCAAACCAAAAAGATCACTGAAACTAAGTGAACTAAAGATTCAATAATCAAACTGAACAGATCACTGGAACTAAGTGAACTAAATATTCAAGGAATGAACACAAAGTTATTACCCTTTACTATGGGAGGCCAATTTGGTCTGAGAACTGGAAACCAGTTTCGATAACCTTTCAGCGTCGCTGTTTTTACTGGCTACTTCATCATGGAATTCCTGCAAGCAAAGTTCAGAGATTGTGCTTTATTTCATCAAGTGGAATGTCTTTATTTTATACAGTGACTTTTCTATTTTCCTCAGAAAAGTGAAATTTAGACTCAATTCATTCCCATATGGGTCCTGGGGTCTCTATTTTGGTTGGGGGTGGGGGGGGTGGGGTGGGAGGACCCAATGCTCTTTAACATGCATGTCATTAAAGGTGACCAATCAGGGGTGTTTCCTTCAAAGATACAGTGCATCTGTCTGAGAGCCAGGAACCAACAGTCTGCATACAAATTAACCAGAACTTAAAGGTGGACCAATCAGGGTGTTTGCCTTCAAAATCTAGTTCTGATACTAGGTTTACTTCAAGTCTCTGACACGTACAAGCATACAAGAGGCCTTGGCAAACCTCTGAATGGCCCTGGTTTACTTCAAGTCTCTCACACGTACAGACATACACCAAACCTAGGCAAACCATTTTTAAATGATGAGTAATAAACAAATGTACAACTCTACAAAGTGACAAACATATACCAGACCTTGGCAAACCATTTTCAAATTATGATTAATAAAAAAATGTACAACTCTACAAAGTGACAAACATAAAGCTGAGAGTGTTCTAATATGTTGACATCTGTGACACACTGTTTACACAAACACTATTTTGGGACACAGAAATTCTGTATAATTGCAAACCAGAGGCTAAACTAACCATTTATAAGATGTACAGATAGACATAAATGATTAAACACTTTACAAACAGTTTGAAAAGCTCTGGTAAACTAGACAACTGACCAGGTGTTCCTTGTACAGACAGACATAAATGATTGAACACTTGACAAACAGTTTGAAAAGCTCTGGTAAACTAGACAACTGACAACTGACCAGGTGTTCCTTGAGCAGTGTCTCCACCACCTGGACATCCTCAGGAATGGAGTCACTCTCTTTGGTGGCCAGAAGTGCCTGGGCATCGGTCAGCCACGCCAGAAGCTCCTCCAACAATGCAGCATTGCCTTGAATGTTCTGCACAGCTTCCTGTAACCTCTGACCTCTGGCTGCGGCTCTTTGTAACAGCTGAGGAGGACAGTTTGGCTGTGTTAGTATCTTTGAAATATTATCTGTTCAGGAAAGCAAGCTTTAAATGTTACTGAAATAATCATATTAATTGCTAGCCCTGACTGCTTCTTGATTCAGTGTCTTTATTTCTGCTTATTTTTCAGATGTTTGGCCTAAAGAAAACCTTCAAACACTTGGAGTCACCAACTAAAATTAGAAGGCCAACAAGAGAGATAAATGGAGATATGTAATGAACTTGAAGAGTTCAGAATGCTGAAGAAGAATAAGAAGAAGAAGAAAGAATATGAAAGAAGAAAGGAATAAGGGAGGAAGAGAAGAAAAAGAAGAAGGGAGGAAGAGGTGGAGGAGAAAGATGAAGAGCAGTAGTATTTAATACTACATCAAAAGAAGGAATGAATAAACCCAGAACTGACATCACTGCCCTTGGGATATTGCCAGACAGGCCCTGTCTCATTCTTCAAACAACCAACGAAAGCTTAAATGCTAATGGTACCAGCACTAATCTGTGAAATCAAATCTATAACCATTACACCTGAGGGTCATCTATGACTGCACCTAGCTGTCAATTATTTTACATAAAGTGATTTCACTTCCTTATCTATTTACCCCCCCCCCCTTCCCTCCCCAGACCTGATCCCAACTTACTTTCCCACTCATCTGATATCTTACTTCACTACAAATGTGATCCAGTCTGAGTTCCCCACTCACCTGGCCCCATCTGACTTCCCCACTCGCCTGATCCCATCTGAGTTCCCCACTCACCTGGTCCCAACTGACTTCCCCACTCCCCTGATCCCAACTGACTTCCCCACTCACCTGGTCCCAACTGACTTCCCCACTCACCTGATCCCATCTGAGTTCCCCACTCACCTGATCCCATCTGAGTTCCCCACTCGCCTGATCCCATCTGACTTCCCCACTCACCTGATCCCAGCTGACTTCCCCACTCACCTGGTCCCAACTGACTTCCCCACTCACCTGGTCCCAACTGACTTCCCCACTCACCTGGTCCCATCTGACTTCCCCACTCACCTGGTCCCAACTGACTTCCCCACTCACCTGGCCCCATCTGACTTCCCCACTCGCCTGATCCCATCTGAGTTCCCCACTCACCTGGTCCCAACTGACTTCCCCACTCACCTGATCCCAACTGACTTCCCCACTCACCTGATCCCAACTGACTTCCCCACTCACCTGGTCCCAGCTGACTTCCCCACTCACCTGATCCCAACTGACTTCCCCACTCACCTGGCCCCAACTGACTTCCCCACTCGCCTGATCCCATCTGAGTTCCCCACTCCCCTGGTCCCAACTGACTTCCCCACTCACCTGATCCCAACTGACTTCCCCACTCACCTGGTCCCAACTGACTTCCCCACTCACCTGGTCCCATCTAGTCTGTGTGATGGTCAGGTAGTACTTGACAAATCTGACAGCATTCGGATGACAGCTCAGCAAAATCTCCTCTGCCAAACGTTTGATCTTGTCCACACTGCCCTGGTGTCTCTGCAAGTCTTCCTGGAATTTCTGTCACCAAAGAAAACATCCCAGATGTTAGTTTTCTCAAACATTAGTTTACACTGTACCATGGTTTCCTCAAAAACAAGCAATTATCTATTTATTTCATGCAAATATCAAGGCCAGTATGTCTCAATAATACTGTCACTTTTATATAATCTTCAAGATATTTCATAGTTATTTCGTGTCTTTACATTCTTTCAAGATGTAATCAATACACCTTCTCAATGCATTCTCCTGCCTCAGCTCTAAGACAATCCGGTTGTTAGTATATCTGGATGAGTTATGTGTCAGCTTTATTTTGAAACCTTGTCTCTGATCAACAACAACAAAATGTCTACACGCCAGCTTGCATTCACAAACAGCTGTAACTTGCCAGGTAGACCTACCTCACATTCACAAACGGTTGTAGCTTGCCAGGTAGACCTACCTCACATTCACAAACGGCTGTAGCTTGCCAGGTAGACCTACCTCACATTCACAAACGGTTGTAGCTTGCCAGGTAGACCTACCTCACATTCACAAACGGCTGTAGCTTGCCAGGTAGACCTACCTCACATTCACAAACAGCTGTAACTTGCCAGGTAGACAAGACCTACCTCACATTCACAAACAGCTGTAACTTGCCAGGTAGACCTACCTCACATTCACAAACAGCTGTAACTTGCCAGGTAGACCTACCTCACATTCACAAACGGTTGTAGCTTGCCAGGTAGACCTACCTCACATTCACAAACGGCTGTAGCTTGCCAGGTAGACCTACCTCACATTCACAAACAGCTGTAACTTGCCAGGTAGACAAGACCTACCTCACATTCACAAACAGCTGTAACTTGCCAGGTAGACCTACCTCACATTCACAAACAGCTGTAACTTGCCAGGTAGACAAGACCTACCTCACATTCACAAACAGCTGTAACTTGCCAGGTAGACCTACCTTACATTCACAAACAGCTGTAACTTGCCAGGTAGACCTACCTCACATTCACAAACAGCTGTAACTTGCCAGGTAGACCTACCTCACATTCACAAACAGCTGTAACTTGCCAGGTAGACCTACCTCACATTCACAAATAACTGTAACTTGCCAGGTAGACCTACCTCACATTCACAAACAGCTGTAACTTGCCAGGTAGACCTACCTCACATTCACAAACGGTTGTAGCTTGCCAGGTAGACCTACCTCACATTCACAAACGGCTGTAGCTTGCCAGGTAGACCTACCTCACATTCACAAACGGTTGTAGCTTGCCAGGTAGACCTACCTCACATTCACAAACGGCTGTAGCTTGCCAGGTAGACCTACCTCACATTCACAAACAGCTGTAAACTTGCAGGTAGACAAGACCTACCTCACATTCACAAACAGCTGTAACTTGCCAGGTAGACCTACCTCACATTCACAAACAGCTGTAACTTGCCAGGTAGACCTACCTCACATTCACA